CTTATCTCCAAATGATGTATTGCTAAAATGATATAAGATGTAGAATGATTTATTTAATCAATAAGCTACTTATTATCATTTAAGATGTGCTTATTTGTACCTCCCTCCCTATAGTCCTTCTCTGATAACTCATTCCGGCTTTGAGGTGACTCTGTTTTTGAAGGCAATATCGGGGGAGCATAGCTCTGACAAGTATTTTGTTTGTTGTTTATTCCTTTCATTCCCGTCCCATTCTTCATGACCCCATTTTGGGATTTTCTTGGCAAATATATGGGAATGGTTCGCCATTTTCTTCTCCAGATCATTTTACAGGTGAGAAACTGAAGCAAATAGAATTAAGTGACTTGGCCAGAGTCACACAGCTAGTAAGCATCTGAGGCCAGATTTGAAGTCATGAAGATGAGTGTTCCTGATTCCAAGCTTAGTGCTCTATCCACTGTACCGTCTAGCTGCCCCAACAGGTCCTGCTAAACTGGAAAAGCTTTGAGTATAGTCTTGTCTATGGACAGGGTCTTTTGACTGAGGACCAGCTTATGGAAATCCAGAGAAGTATTTCATCAGTTTTCTCATGAGGTGATAAATTTTTTTTCAACCATAGCAAGGCTCAGCAGCGTTCCACTAAATTGGAGAGGGGTCATGATCTGCTTCTGTGGAGGGAGTTCCCACTTTGACAAGATCATGGATCTTGGAGGCATTGAAGTTAGCAGGTGAAGACTTCAAAGCATTCTAAATATTATTATTGTTATTTTCATTTTATAGGAATGAGAAAAAAGGATTTATTAAGCACTTACTATTATTACTATTATTTATATTTGATGGGGTTCACATAGAAACTATTTTGGGACAGGTAGAGATCCTATGATTATTCTTTTGTGTTTAATGTTCAGCATATTATTGAGTAGGTAGGTTAAATGACTGTTTAAAAAATTCAATAAAATATTACCATTATAATTCTTATTATTTCTGGCCCTGGAATCTTGCTTATCATTTATCTGGGCACTCTAGATTCTACTTTCTTAAAGTCTAGGATGAGACATGTGCTATACTCTATAGACAAAGATGATACTGATGACCCAGCGTTAATGGGATACTCTAGTTTTTTCGGTAGTGGTGGTAGATTTGTCCCTTTCCCAGGTAACTCAGTTTATCTAGCAAAATGTAGGTATTACCCCTATCCACATTCTCTTACCTAGTAGTTCCTGTGACCAATAATATATCATTTAAGAAGGGATATGACTTATCCCCAAAGTCATCAGAGTTAGTCAGATCTCAAAACCTGGATTCTGAGAGCCAGTCTGCTGATTCATAACTTTCTGATTTTGCCTCTGGAAAGTCAGTAGTTTCATAACCAGCCTCTGCAGAAGAGAGTAGGAAAGCTTTCAGCTGGAGGGGAAATCTATGGTTGAGTGATCTATTTCATTGAAATTAACTAATAGTGACAAATCTGTTGGCAAAATGGATGTGGCTACAATTAAATATAAATAAGAAACTTGTATGGGGATCAGAGTGGGGAGGGGCAGGACTATAATCCTCAACTCCCCAATTCTATTCATGGGCATAATTCAACCTACCCTAATTCAGGTTTAGGGGTATAACTCAGCCACCCTCCCCCCAAAACGGTAATTCCTAGTTATGATTTTGCTGTCGTGTCTAGGTTTATAGGCTCTTTCTACAACCTTTTGGAGAGCGTATCTTTCCTCCTTCCTTCAAAAGGTCCCCAAAGGACATCCTAGGCCAGTGGTGCTCAGAATGTTTGGTCTTGGGATATTTTACGCTCTTAAAAATTGTTGAGGATCTCTCCAAAGAATTTTTGGTTTTGTGGGTTATGTCTATCAATATTTATCATATTAGAAATCAGAAATAAAAATTAGCAATAAGAATAATATTTATCATTTTAGTATTACTATGCAAACAGTTTTGACCTTGCAGACTCCCTGAAAGGGTTCCCTGGACCACACTTCAAGATCTGCATCCTAGCCGTTTTAATGGAGAGAGAGAAAGATCATTTGTCCCTTCCCCTGACCCCCTATCCCAGGGTGTGGAGAAAATGGTTCAGAGCTCAACACTCTTTTTAGTTTGGGTTTAGGAAGGTAGTAGAGGAAGCAGTGAATCTGATACAGAAGGATAATGGATATAGTGCTAGGAGTCTCTGTCCTGTCTCCCAGAAGGACTTTGGGCAAGCTCTTCCTTTCCCTTTGGACTTCTATGCCTTCCATTAATGAATGCCTTGCTGTTCATTCATTCATTCAACAAGCATTTATTCGATGCTTACTATGTACAAGGTACCACATTAGGGGATAAGGATTCAAAACCAAAGTGAAAATGTCCCTGCCCACAAAGAGCTTATATTGTAAGTATGTAACCCATAGCCCAGGGTACCCTCTTCATCTAGGTTTACATGGGCAGGATCTGATGTCAGGAGTGAATACAAAAAGATTATTATTATTATTATTTTTTGGTTTGCTATGTTTCCACACAGTTTAATCTGAGAAATCTCCAAATATGCCTCAGTGGGGCAACTCCTCCTCCTCACAGAGTGTTGTTTGTCCTTTGTTCTCAAAGAGGACCAATGACATCAGGAAGGTGACATCTTGACTTGTAAGTGAATTGGATTTAAGGGAGGAGGTCTGTGCAAAGTCACCAGCCTCACTCTCTCCTTCAGAGCCATCAGTATTGTAAGATGATCAGCTAGGACTTAGCTATTCTCAGCAATGCAATGATCCAAGACAACTCTGAAGGACTTACGATGAAAAATGCTACACATCCCCTGAGAAAGAATTGATGGAGTCTGAATACAGATTGAAGCATATTTTTTTCCTTTATTTTTCTCGGGTTTTTATTTTGGTCTATGTTTTCTTTTACAACATGACTAATATGGAAATATGTTTTGCATGACTACACATGTATAACCTATATCAAATTGCTCGCTTTCTCAATGGGGGAGGGGGGATGGGAAGGGAGGGAGAGAATTTGGAACTCCAGTTTCAAAACGAATGTTGAACATTGTTTTTATATGTAATTGGGGAAAAATAAAATCCTAAATAAAAAAATTAAGTTTCTGCCTGTTCTTGAATCCAAGGACCTGTGTGTTTGCAGGTATAATGTTTGTGTCTTGTACTTAGTACAGTTGTTTAGCCATTCCCAATTGATGGGTAATTAAAATCTTAATTTCCAGTTCCAGTGCCACCACATAAAAAGCTACTATAAATATTTTTGCACATATGGGTCCTTTTCCTTTGATCTCTTTGGAGTAGTAGAGGTAACTTATTCATCCCTAACTTTGACCTGGGATAATAGTCGCAAGAAAGCTCAGTGACCTAGAAGTTTAGGGACTATTATCCCAGGTCAAAGGAAGAAAAAGAATATGTTGAACTAAACTACTCTCCATTGAATGAGTAGCTTCCACTTTGGCTAAATTACTATATAGTTTAAGTTTTGCCACCAGTATTCACGAGAAACATCCTCCCCCTTTTCCAACTGGTACCAACTAGGCCATCTTAGGCCTGGAGTCAGGAAGACTCACATCCGGCTTCCGACGTTTTACTCTGAGCTGTGTGGTCCTGGGCAAGTCCCTTAACCTTTTTCTCTCTCGGTTTTCTCAGTGGCAAAATAGGGACAACAATAACATCTACCTCCTAGGGTTGCTGAGAGGATCAAATGATATAATATTTGTCAAGGGCTTAGCACATAGGAGATGCTTATTCTCTTTCCTCCCCCCAAGGCACTTTAGCTCCCTGTGTCATTCTGTTGTAGGACCCAGAGCCAATCACCTTGATGTGCTTAGAGTGTCTTTGGTAGGGCCCTCTGCTCTCCCTCCTGCCCCCAAGGCTTTGTGGTGTTCAGACTCATCTGGAGATCCTAGACCTGGCTCTGCAACTAACTTTGGCTTTTCAGTCTTAAGGAAATGACTTGCTTCTTTTGATAATAAGATAATAATAAATTCCTCTCTCTGGCCTTCGTTTCCCAAACTATAAAATGAGATGGTTGGACTAGAGGACCTTTGAGGTCTCTTTCAGCGCTGATATTGTTCTAGGAATAAAGAGAATAAGCCCAGTTAGAAGTAGTGAACGCTCACTGTGACCCAATCAGTCATTCAACAAGCATTTATATACAGTTTGCTACCTGAACGGCACTTAGGCATTTTGGGACAATGTTCAACCAGGTAATTGCCCTCCAGGAGTTTATAGTCTAGCTGGGGAGACAAGCCTAATTAGCATGTGCCAAGCAGGGATCAGTTCAGTAACCAAGCTCTCTGGTTCTAACCACAAATACAACAGCATGGTGAGAACAACGAAGTCTCTATTAGTCCCTGAAGGCTTCCGCGGCAAAGGAACAAAGAATAACGAACCTAAAAAGCTTGTGAACCAGAAAGGATTTATAAATGTCTTTTATTATTATTATATACTATATATATTATATATTCTATATATATTATAAACTCCTTGGGTGTGTGTGTTGGGGTGCGTGTGGGGAGAGGGTAGGAGTTGTGTCATATTTTATCTTGGCATCTTCCCCCAGCCCTTTACAATTCCCTTCAGACGGTTGGAGGTTAATAAACATTTCTTAAATTGAATTGACTAACAGTCCCAATTCTCTGCTCCACTTTGGCTAGGGGAGTTCCAGCTCGGCTTCCTACCCCTTCCCGCCCCACTCTTCATGCTCTTTCCCGCGGGTGTGCTGAGCTGGTACTCCATCGGGGACTAGAAGATGGGGGAAAGGGATGGGAGGTGAAACAGGACCACAAGAAAGTATTTCCTTTCTCTGGGCTTCGATTTCCTCCTCTCTAAAATGAGGTTGGATTAGACGGGCTAAGGAGAGTTGGCGGCAGCCCCAAGGTGATAAGAACAAGCCCCTTTCCGCCACCCCCCAAAAACCCCTCCCCCTTTCCAGCAGGCGTCTAAAGTAGACTCCTCCCCCCGCCCGAGTGTGGTCCCACCCCCTCCATCCGTTCCCACCCTCCTGGAAGCCGTAGGGGGCGGGAAAAAGACTGTGGGGCGTCCTGCGCTTTGCACCCAACAATAGGGGATCGCGGAGCAGAGCCCGGGTAGGAGAGACGAGAATGGGACCGCGGGAGCTCTGCTTGGCTCTGCTGGCGCTGGGGGCGCTGGCGGGCAGAGTCCAGGGTAAGTGACACCAGACGGGTCGCGGATTCCGAGGCTAACCCGGGTTTGGGAGACCTCAGCTCCCTGCCCGGAGAGTTTGAGCAGTCCGCGGGAGCTCAAGGAGTCTGAGTGGGACTTGTGCCCGTCCAGGCTCTGGAACCGAGTGATCTTGAGCCAGTCTTGTCCCCGGTGTGCAGCTTCTGCCTCCAACCCCTGCCCCAGTAAGCGGGGTCCGTTGGGTGCCTGTCGTCCGTGCAGGCACTTCTGACTCAGCAGCTCATTGGGAATGTGTGGATCTTTGCGTGTTGTCTTCTTATTTTGGGTTTGCAGTAGGAGCAGCTCATCTCGCGTGTGGCTCTCTCTGTCTTTCTCTGTCTCTGTCTCTGTCTCTGTCTCTGTCTCTCTCTCTCTCTGTCTCTCTGTCTCTGTCTCTCTGTCTCTCTGTCTCTCTGTCTCTGTCTCTGTCTCTCTCTCTGTCTCTCTCTGTCTCTGTCTCTCTCTCTCCTCTCTGTCTCTCTCTCTCTCTCTCTCTCTCTCTCTCTCTCTCTCTCTCTCTCTCTGTCTCTCCCTCTCTCTGTCTCTCCCTCTCTCTGGATGACTGCTGCTGTGGTATGAGGCTTGATAAGACTTTGCTTTCCCGGGTATCAGTGGTTGCTGTGGGTTTGCTGCTCTGATGCTCAGGCAGAAGGCTAAGTCAGAGCTAGATAGAACAGGGCTGGGGTTCCTATTTCTTTAAGCGAGGTCTGAGTTGGGAGCAGTGACCCCGATACAGATAGGAGACCAGGAAAGGTGCTGCCATCGGGAACAGGACATATAAGGGCCTCTAGCACTCTTGTTTTTTAGCCCAGTCCTTCCGTCTCTAAATCTTGCTGCTGTGGATCTCAGGCTACTTGCTCTTTGGGCCACAGGCAGACAGTTCCCCTTGTGTCCCCATCTGGGACGTGAGTAGAGGCCACGCTTGGGGTTCTTACTTTTCTCCTCTTGATCCATCCCGGATGAGATACAGTCTGGCAGATGAGTCCACAAGAATACACACAGCTGAGTTCCTGAGAATTCATGGGCATCTTTTGAGGGGAGTGGGAAGTAATAATGTTGGAGGGGGCTTCAGTTGCTACTTTCTGGGACTTCCCTTGTTAGGGAGGCTGAAAATACTGGTGTGGATCAACACAACCCAGAGCTATCTGAGTACTGTTCTCTGGGGGCTTTATTTTTATTTATTATGGGATTTACATGCTCAGGGGACCACAAAGTTGAATTATCAGTCCACAATGATGTACTTCATGCAAAGTGTTGCACATCACAGTCACTGGGGAGATAGATAAGGGGTCTAACAGTCTAGTAGGGGATAAGACAAGGGCAGATAACTGGAACACACAATATTAGAGCTCATATTTACTAGGGAGTTAACACACAAAGCGCTGTGTGAAGACAGAGAATGGGTATTATTACCCAAGAAGGCATCATTGTGCAAGAGGAAGGTTCTCCAGAAGGCTGTTTGGAGGAGGCTCTTGAGTTGTATTGCTGAGGCTATTAGAAATTATAGCTGACATTTACATAGGTGTTTTAAGGTTTGCAAAGCACCTTATTATTTATAAGTCTAAAAAATATATAATTATTATATACATCCATAAATTTATTAATAAATCATTTATAAATGCCATTCACTTTCCCACCTCTACTGCCCGCCATATTACTGTCCCATAAAAATCAGGTAAGCAAAATGGCTAAATAGAGAATCTCAAAATTAGTATGTCCAAAACAACTCATTTTCTTTCTCTTAAAATTCAATCCTTTTCCAAAATTATCTGTTTCTGTTGAATATACCACCAGCCTTCTGATCATTCAGGTTTACCAAATATTTTGAATACGTTCCCCTTCTCTCTATTTCTACTGCTACCAGCCTAGTTTATTATCTCTCCCCTGGACTATTGCAGTAGTCATCTAACTGGTCAAGCTGTCTCACGTATCTTCCCACTCTAGTTCATTATCTCTACATCTGCTAAGGTGATTTCCTAAGGTTTAGGCATGACAACGTCATTCCAGTGCTCAGTAAACTCCCCTGCCTTCCTATTAATCTCTAGATCAACTATATGGTCCTTCAGCATTTAAAGTTCTCCACAACCTGACCCTTCCCCACCTTTCCATTCTTCTTACACTCGACACCCTTCTACACACTTTACAATCCAACTATACTGTCCTATTTACTCTTTCTCACACCTAACATTTCATATTTGGTCTCTGTACCTTTGCACTGACTGTTCTCCAAGCCTTGAACACTTTCTCCTTATATTGGCCTCTCAGAATCCCTGGCTTCCTTCAAAATGCAGTCCAAGTACCACTTCAATAGATGTTCTTTCCTGGTTCCCACAGATGCTGGAGCCTTTGCTTCTAAGGTTTTTTTCCCCATTCACTCTGTGTGTATCTTGCATTTACCCATGTACGTACCTGCTGTCTCCCATCCAAATGTAAGTTCCCTGAGAACATAAGTTATTTTTGTCTTTCTTTGTATCTGTATTGCTTCCTTCAGTGCCTAGCCCTGTGAGTGCTTAATAAATGCTTGACTAACTGACTTTACTGCTTTGGCATTATCTTGCCACCTCATTTCCCTCACCGTATACTTCCAATTAGTTGCCAAATCTTGTCATTTCTATCTTCACAATATCACTTCTGCGCATCTCTACTCCTAGGGCTGTGATCCTAGGCCCCCATCACCTCTTGCTTGGACTACTGCAATAGCCTCCTAATTATTGCTCCTGTCTCCTCTCTTCCCTCTTCATTCTATCTTCTACACAACTGCCACAGTGATACTCCCCAAATGTAAGACTGGCCATGTCACTATCCTACTCAGTAAATTACAATAGCTTCCTATTGCCTCTAAGATAAAATATAAACTCCTTTGTTTAGTTTGGAAGCCCATAATAACCTGTCCCCAATTTAACTTTCCAGCCTTAATATTCAATCCCACATGTTACAGTCCAGCCAAATTTTCTGTTTCCCACATTTGGCACTTCATTTCCCATCTCCTGACCTGTCCGTCATGACTGAAACACACTCCTCTATCACCTCTGTCTCTTAGAATCTCTTGTTTCCTTCAAAAGGCTGTTTAAATGACATTGTCACTTAAAGCCTTTCCTGATACCCACCCTGCTCCTAATGCTTTTATCCTGTAAATTTTACCTTCTTTTTATTGTGTATATATATATATATATATATATACATATATATATGCATATATCTTGCATATAATTTTTTAACGAATAAGCAAGTCTTCCTATCTTACCCAGATTGGAAGTGTAGGGGCTATTTACATGCCTAGTCCTCTTCCAATCAACATGAGAATTCTTATTACAATTATCTCTTCCACACTGTGACTTTACTCATTGAGGTTTCAATATATCACACATCAGCTTAAGAAATTAAATGGGAATTTTTGGGGGGAGTTTTTTTGAAGATGCAGATGATACGCAAAGGCCAGTAGATGACACAGAAAAAGTTTAGAAACTCATAAATGCATAAAATAGATGGATAGTATTGTATAATATCAACATATTGTGTCTTTTAATACCATAATAATTCAGACTTCTTCTCTGGTATGAAGGGAAGGCCAAAAATTTTTACATGGCCTTTCTACATCACGGGGCACCGTGCCCCTAATCCCCCAAATGTGGAAGGGATGACTGTAACTCCATTTCAGATCTGGGCCAGTTTGCTGCTCCTTAGGCATTATAGTGCTTCAGTCCCCTTCTGGAGCTCAGCGTATTAATGCTGATAACTTAGTGTAGACGCCCAATGGCTCAGCCTATTATAGCTTAGAAATGTCAGGCTCAAGAGATGCATCAGCTTCAGTCTCTCCAGTAATACAGATTATAGGGTCTCCACTACCACATACTTATGTACATGTCATCTTCCTCAGGAGGCTATAAGATCCTTGAGGGCAAGGACTGTTTTATTTTTGTCTTTGTACTTACATTGCCTAGTACAATGCCTGGAACCTAGTTGTCACTTATTAATGATTTTTGATTGCTTGATTTCCAGGTAAGCCTAAATCTTGGGCATGTGGAACTATTAAGAGCTCTGTTTGAGGTGCAATCAGCTGTTGAAGGGTCCCTTTCTCATGAGCAGTGAGTAGAAAAAATCAGAGAGGCTTCTTTGGTGACCCCTTTTAATGAATTTTTGGAGAATCCCAGTAGAATACATAAAGGTCTTGTGGAAGGAGTTGCAAAGAGTATACTAGGCCATTTACATCCTGTTCCTGGATCCTTAGCCTGCCAGAAGCTTAACTAAGTCAGGTACTGCCATACCACTGATTGGAAGGCATTGGGGTAGATTGTCTCCAATTATAGAAAAGATTCTCTGTGTGCCCAATACTGGGACCTGGTAATTTAATGTCGAATTGATCTTATATGGAGGAGTAGCCATTTCCTTGACTCCAGGGTAGATCTGGACTGAGGAGAGCCAGAGGTTCCTTAGAATATCTCCAATAGGGGTAGGCTTAGATCCAGATATGTGCTGGTAAATGTTTAACAGCCAATTCTGAAAAAAAAAGTGTACATTGTACTTTTAAGTATAACCTACATTATTAACATTTTCTCCATCATTTTCTTAAGTCTAGACAATCAACAAACCAATAAATTAAACCCCAGTTTGTAGCATTTGCTAATTTCCAAGGCATAAATGTTCATACTGAAAATATAACAATGGCTCCTACACACCACTGGTTAGGTAGGCTCTGGTAATCCACCTGAGGTCTGAGAGATCCCTGGACTTGGGATTTGTTATAGTCCCTACTCAGGTCAACCGAACAACTCAGACTAGTAGTAAAACAAGAACTGTTCTGATCTCTCTGGAATCCTGGGGACCAGAGGGGATTTAGGTCTAGCTTTGGTCTCCTAGAGATTCTGTCACCTTGTAGATCAAAGAGATGTGATCATATCTGGGAGACAGGAAGGAAAAAGGTATAGGAAAGGGATGAGATACTTTAGTTGCATAGAGAATGAAGGATGAGATAGACCCTACTAGAA